AAAGGGAACTGCTTTGAAATTATTTTTGCCTTTTGAACCCAGTTATTTACTCAGTGTATTTTCTTTTAACTAATTTGAGAACATGCTTGCTCCATGGTCAGAAAAATGAATGCTTCTGTAAGTTTTTTTGTGTGTGTGTGTGGGTGTGTGTGTGTGTGTGTGTGTGTGGGTGTGTGTGTGTGTGTGTGTGGGTGTGTGTGTGTGTGTGTGTGTGTGTGTGTGTGTGTGTGTGTGTGTGTAGATCAATAATGATCTCTTTGATAAAAGATAAGTAGTGATATGAATAACCTTCCAGAGGATGCTTTGAAACATGTAAGACAAAAAGCTAGTGTACAGGTGCTGGTCATAAAATTAGAATATCATGAAAAAGTAGATTGATTTCAGTAATTCCATTTAAAAAGTGAAACTTGTATATTATATTCATACATTACATACAAACTCATATATTTCAGATGTTTATTTTGTTTAATTTTGATGATTACAAATGACAACAAATGAAAATCTCAAATTCATCATATCAGAAAATTAGAATATTGTGAAAAGGTTCAAAATTGATGGCCCCTGGTGCCACACTCTAATCAGCTAATTAACTCAAACCACCTGCAAAAGCCTTTAAATGGTCTTTCAGTCTAGTTCTATAGGCTACACAATCATGGGGAAGACTGCTGACTTGACAGTTGTCCAAAAGACGACCATCGACACCTTGCACAAGGAGGGCAAGACACAAAAGGTCATCGCTAAAGAGGCTGGCTGTTCACAGAGCTCAGTGTCCAAGCACATTAATAGAGAGGCGAAGGGAAGGAAAAGATGTGGTCGAAAAAAGTGTACAAGCAAGAGAGATAACCGCACCCTGGAGAGGATTGTGAAACAAAACCCATTCAAAAATGTGGGGGAGATTCACAAAGAGTGGACTGCAGCTGGAGTGAGTGCTTCAAGAACCACCACACACAGACGTATGAAAGACATGGGTTTCTGCTGTCGCATTCCTTGTGTCAAGCCACTCTTGAACCACAGACAGCGTCAGAAGCGTCTTGCCTGGGCTAAAGAGAAACAGGACTGGACTGCGGGTGAGTGGTCCAAAGTCATGTTCTCTGATGAAAGTAAATTTTGCATTTCCTTTGGAAATCAAGGTCCCAGAGTCTGGAGGAAAAGAAGAGAGGCACTTCATCCACGTTGCTTGAAGTCCAGTGTAAAGTTTCCACAGTCAGTGATGGTTTGGGGTGCCATGTCATCTGCTGGTGTTGGTCCATTGTGTTTTCTGAGGTCCAGGGTCAACGCAGCCACATACCAGGAAGTTTTAGAGCACTTCATGCTTCCTGCAGCTGACCAACTTTTTGGAGATGCAGATTTCATTTTCCAACAGGACTTGGCACCTGCACACAGTGCCAAAGCTACCAGTACCTGGTTGAAGGACCATGGTATCCCTGTTCTTAATTGGCCAGCAAACTCTCCTGACCTTAACCCCATAGAAAATCTATGGGGTATTGTGAAGAAGAAGATGCAATACACCAGACCCAACAATTCAGAAGAGCTAAAAGCCACTATTAGAGCAACCTGGGCTATCATAACACCTGAGCAGTGCCACAGACTGATCGACTCCATGCCACGCCGCATTGCTGCAGTAATACAGGCCAAAGGAGGCCCAACTAAATACTGAGTGCTGTACATGCTCATACTTTTCATGTTCATACTTTTCAGTTGGCCAACATTTCTATAAATCCTTTGTTTTTATTGGTCTTCAGTAATATTCTAATTTTCTGATATGATGAATTTGAGATTTTCATTTGTTGTCATTTGTAATCATCAAAATTAAACAAAATAAACATCTGAAATATATGAGTTTGTATGTAATGTATGAATATAATATACAAGTTTCACTTTTTAAATGGAATTACTGAAATCAATCTACTTTTTCATGATATTCTAATTTTATGACCAGCACCTGTAGGAATACATTAGTTATTTTAAGTCATTTAGATTTGCTTCAAATCCCATATTGCATGTTTAAAGATAAACAGGTCCAGATTTGAAAAAGTCAAAATTCAGTTTAGATTAATGTTATTTGGTATATTACTGATGGAAAATTGCTAACTATACCAATTTAATTCAGGAAAATACAGTAAATGAGATCTAATACTAAAAAGGTGAAAATAGCAACTGTTGGTTTGCTGAGTGAGCTCTTCTTTCTGCTGCCCAAAAAACCTTCAAAAAGAGGGAATCCTTTATTATTCTTGATTGGGATAAATGTAGAGCAGGCCTGCACAAAGCATTTTATTCTCCATGCTTTATATGTACCAAGCTGGGTAAAAACACTGGAAACTAAATTCAGAGCATAACCCGGATAAGTTGTTTTTATTCAGTTTGGTACTCTTTCTAATGTTGCACCAGGAAACCACCAATATGGCCCCTAAAATAAGCAATACTCTAAGAATGACCTAAACCATAACCGCACAAACATTATGAGGAAAAACAAAATGACTTACTAAACACATTGTGACACACAGCATCTTGCATGAACCGAATTCTAATACAATCCAGCACTGGATGGATGTCAGTTAAAATTAGTTTGTAAAAATGAATCCTTTTAAAGCATTAAGTTTGCAGGAATCTCCCTTGTGGATCAGGCCTTTCTACTCACTGATAAAATAAAAAAAGCTTAATTCTGTTTAACCTTAACGAACCTCTGTTTTGCAGAATGAAGCTAAGCTGTGTAAACATGCAATGTGTCATTGTTAGATGAATGGACTATATGCCCAACTCCACTACTTCCTGAACTTCAGCCAGCTCCTTTGTTTCCTGTCTTTCATTACTCAACAAACTGATTAATCCAGGTATGTCTAATTAATGTTGTCATGTTACTGGGGTCAAAGACACCTCAACTAATCTGTTTGCCCAGTAATGTGAATAACATACTCAAAAGACAAATATAATGTAATGCCATCTAAGGTAATAAAATAATCCTCCTGTGGACATGAACAATCTGCAGTCTTATTTTAGGTTGAAATAATAGTAAAATTGTTCAATTTAAAACCAAAATAGGGCTTTAAATGGTGCAATTTGAGCACTATGATTGAAGGCACTTTTAGAGTAATGTTTATACATGTGAAATGTTCACTATTAATATTGAGTAATTCTGCCCTCTGCTGTTGGAATTATGAACTACAAGATACCGCTTGGGATTTCAACAGCCAGTTCTGCAGAACTCCATACGCAAATAATTTTCCCTAACTCTTTAACGCCATAACTCTTCTTTTCGTATGAGTAAGATTAACACACATATACACACACAGACAAACACACATGGAAATAACAGAAGTAGGGAAAGTTAGGTTTGACAGAGGCAAAGCAAGGTGACAAAGGAAAGTTCTTAGTTACAATCAAGAATAATGTGAAAAATAGCACAATTTAAAATGTTTAACTGTATTGTCTGCAAAGTAAATACATGCATTCATACATAGATATATAAACAATACTAAATAAATAACATATTCAAATATCCTCCTCTGGTGGAGATTCTGGTGCTTTGTTTGCATTTTAACCAGAACTGAAAATCAGCTCCACATACACTCTCAGGGGGGCGCCATCACCCTCTCTGCTGCACAAGCCTTGCTTCCAACAGATTGCTCTTAAGAATGCCAAGTAATAATGAGAAGTTTTCTTAACCTCCTACCAGATTACCTGGAGAGCTTTGTCTCTTGTTGACTTCATCAAAAAAAAGGACACCCCCACACCTCACCCCCTTTGAACCATGACTCCATTTTAAGGCCATGTTTAAAATTGCTCTATACAGCTCCTGTCAGTGAAAAATACAGCATGAGTATGGTATATAAAACAATTCAGACTGTGCCTAAAGCTAAATATTACAAAAATTACCAAGTTACAATCAGATAAATCATGAAAAATGTATCTTTGCCATGTTATATTGGTTTAAGCCAACTTGAATGCAGAATAAAGTCACATGAATTGATGAGTCTTAAGCTTAAAAAATGAATGTCTGGTTTGTAATACCTCTTTTTAAAATTTAAAATCTTAGGTCATAAGTACCATACCTTGACAAAATTGAACATACCGCCTTAAACAGTTGATGACTTTACAACTAAAAACTATAAGGATTGTTGTAGTTTTGTTTGACAGTAAAATGTAACATTGTACTCATTTGGGAAAAAGGGAAGTAAAGTAAGTTATGAAGTGGGAAGAAATGTATTCTGAAGCAAAGAAGAAAATACATGAACCAGATTGGCACTCTCCTAGTCTGCTGTTTGCTTGTTTTTCAAATTGGATTTGATACCGATTGGTTCACCTGGTTCAGAAGGTTTCCACTGAGACCTGCAGTCTGTTTACACTACTGATCCAACATGCTGTAGACATTCAGCATTTGGGCCTGCAGGGTTTGGATGTAAGGGAAACATACTCTGGCTGCCAGCGCTTCCCCAAGACACTGCAGGGGATCATGCAGGCATCTTCATTTCTCTATCACAAGCATGCCTCAGGGATGAGGATAAGGAGGGATTTTCTTGAAAAGCAAATATCCCCTAACAGGATGTATGTTTTGGTTTTGTGTTCTGTTAAATGATGGAATCAGACTGCTTGACAATGTGGCAGCTGTGACACAAATGAAAAAAAAACACAAACTTAAATAGGAAACAACAACATGCTGCCTTGTGTCATTAAGGTATAAAGCCACTCCTGTTTTTTTTGTTTTTTATTTTATTTCATTTCACATACATAGGGCTGCATTTAACTTGTTCTGTTAAGTTGGCTGGGTTTACATAAACATGTGTTTTTCATTGTGGAAAAAAAGCCAAATCTACTATAAAACCTGAGCAAAGCTTTATTTCAATAATTTTTTTCTTATTCAAATAGCATAGAATTAAGTTTCTGACATAACCAGATACTTGGTAAAAATTCCAAAAATTTGTGTACCTTTTGTCAGTGTATGTTCCTAAATCAAACATATTGTCTGATCTTCATAGGCAATAAATAAGACATCAAGCAGAGCAAAACCAGGCATTTGGAAACTTTATTAGAACACCTATTATATGTTGAAAGACAACATGCAGGATTTTCTACTTGTGCTTCTTTGTAAACATAATAACATACATCAAGATGCAAACATTATTGAAAGCTGCTGTTATTCGTAGCATTGAGCAATTTGTCAGTTTCTCTCTTATTTTAGTGTTGTAGTATGAAATACAGACTCTATCTTGACAAATGAAAATGCATGTTTACATTAAGCACCACAATATTGCATTAAGGAAGCATATTTCCTAAATTAAGATATGAAAGCTGAGGTTTATATATGTGGCAAATGTCACAGTGACCATTGATGAGTGCCATCATAAATACTTTTAAAGAAGAAAGCTGTTTTAAAGTAAGTGACACAATATTAGCTGGTTCATCATCCAATGCTCTTAAAATAAGACCAATGCAAATGTGGATTTATCTTCCCAGAATACTAACATCAACTACTGACTCATAAAAGAGAACATAAGCAGCTACAGTGTGGATGAACTTCTCAAAAAATCATTTCTCCCTGCCGCAGTCGGTGCACAAAATGTCATCCCTCTGGGTGAGGAAGCCACGTCCCACCAGTGACACAGAGCACTGCATACAGGAGAAACACTCACTGTGCCATTGACGCTCCTCAAATGAGACATACTTGGCACCTGCCAAACCTGAGCAAAACAAAGTACATTTTTACACACAACAGCCAATATTTGAGAAGCTAATGAGAAATGTTTGCATACATTCTTATTGGGCATTAATGATATATTAATTTGGGGTTAATGTGGGTGTTTCTTTTTCTAGTTTTGACAAATAAAAACTATACACAATAAAGAGATGGTTGGATGCAATATTTAGACATTTTTTCTGTTGTTCCCAAATCCTGTTTGTTTCCTGACAAGGACAAGAATCTGACTTTAAATCACAGTCGTTTAATTCTCAGTAGGTTTAGTATAGGGCTTTTGGAAGACCATTCATTTAATCTTTTTAAAAGCTGCTTTGATGTTTGTTTGGGCTCATTATTCTGCTGGAAACCACTGTTGCTTTCAAGCATTAACACATTTGAAGCAAAATATACCCCAATGATGAAAAGAAACAGGACAGGGTGTTTTTCAAGAAGGATTATTAAAAGCTTCCAAACAGGTTCAAGGATGCAAAGAAAGTGACTTCTATTGAACACCAATGTCATTGTATATCAACTGGAAAAAAGAGTGTGATTTCTATGTACCTTACTGAAGGGAATTTCATATTTATAGTTTTAAAATCACAAAAGTCAGCTCATTAATTCCTGAATGTATGTATGGATTGGAACAATTCTGCAATAAGTATGATGTACAAGCCTTATGTATTATGTCAAGTATTATGACATTTTTTCGCACATCAAGTGTATGTACTATATAACTCAAGGCCCATATAAAAGACCTCCTTCAAAATAAACAAAGCAATAAATGATGATATGGGGAATGACTCACTAGAAATAGATTTAGTGCAACCCACACACTTCTTAGCATACAGGTTGCTGAAGCACTCCAGGCAGTAGGGGTAATTCTCCCTGGAGGTGAAACGCTTCCCTGATAGCTGCTTTCTGCAACCAATGCAGAGGAAGCACTCACGATGCCAAGGCTTATCTTGATATGTCACACCTCCCGTTGTGATGGCCTGAACATAAAAGAAACATGTATAGGAAAAAAAAAAAAAAAAAAAAAAAAAGGTTTTCTCTCCCACACTGAACTGCAGTCAGTGATGGAGTCAAGATAATTTACCTTTTTACAAGCACAGCACTGGTATGCAAACTGCTTTTCAAAGCAGGGCACACAGAAGTAGCCGGAGTCTTTGGGGATGAAATACTTGGTTCCTATTGGCTGTTGGCAGCGGTGACACAGGAAGCAAGTCTCATGCCAGCTGTTCCCCTTGTACTCCATTTTTCGGGAACCTGGCAAACGAGGCAAGAGCAACTAAGCCAGCATATGGTACCTCAATGGCAGAATAGACCCTTCCTAAAATAGTTGGCCAGAATCAGACATGCAAAGTAGAGTAGGGCTTATAGATATACTTGCATGAAATTTGGCTTATAAAAATTTTGTAAGATTATATCTTTAATAATTTACTGCAAATAGTTTAAAAGATATAATGTAAATATTTTTTTATATTTAATAAACTAAATATTTTGTATGACCCAGCTAAACTAGATTTTATTCTCAAAGCTCGAATCCAAATCATTGATAAGGCTTCTGATGTATTTCTTTTCCTGCTATTTAATACAACTCTTGGCTAGAGATTGATTTCTACTTATTTAAAAAAATGTTGTTGACAATTAAGAGTCTTCATTGTTACTATGGAAACATAATGAAATTATAAAAGAAAAAAATAGGGCAAATTGTCCAGACTGCCTGCACATTCCATGACTTTTATTTAGTGGGCCTACATTTATTGAGTGGGCCCCAGATCTTAAGATATATAAATCCAATGGTAGTCTTAATGAATAGATTATTACAGTACTTTTGATCATGTTTATATGTGCGGCTGCTATATTAGACGCTAAACTGCAGGTTGCTTTCCAACTTCTGAAGATCTTAAGGTGGAATTTCAGTTCATTTGGAAATTCTAATATTTCTGGGAACAAATATTTCTTATAAACATTTAATTGGCACTGAGATTGTTCTTGTTGCAACTTGAAAAATTTGAATTTTTTAATTAGTTTTGCTTATAAATACTATAAGGAATAAGAGAAGATAACAACTGTGCAAATCAAAGAGCCATTTCAACCCTTAGCTTTCTATGACTGAAATGAACTCTTCTTAAACCAAAAATCCATTTTTATTTAATTTTTGAGAAATATCTACTTGTGTTGCCATTTTAAAGAATGTTAATTCTATATTACATATATTATATAATGTATATCTTACATTATATATATTACAATAAAGAACAACATTAAATGTTGGTCAACAATGTTTTCCTTTTTTGTTGTGATATCAATATTTTGAGAAAATAAATCAAAAAAGGCATTTAGTTTTAAACCTCATAAAAAGAAAACAAATAGATATGCAAAATTCTGTCACTTTTAGTGACATTAACATTTATGAAACAGTTTTGAATCATTTTAAACCAGAGTTACAAAGAGCTATTGTATGAGGGCATGGATTATCAGTGGCCCTCTGTCAGCCCACTCCATAAAACAATAGGGAAAAACCTACTGGAGCTTTGTCTGCCCTGAAATGCCAGCTGTTAAAGAGCATGCTAGTTTTTTTTTAAGGGCAGAGCTTAATTGATGTTAAAAAGCAACATTTTATATGAAATGAAAGATGAGAAAAATAATGTTATGTTTGGCCCTTGAAGCACAGCTCCAGAAACATTTGGCAAATCCCTCTATAACATTGATATATCTTTTTTAAAACCAGAGATTAAAAGCTAATCTAGTGGCTTAGAAAACGTAGATGCGAGAGCAACTGCAGAATAGTTATTAATAGACATTATGTTAGAGTGGTTTTGTTTGCAACTGTTGAGCGTTGTCAAGACCAAGCCTGAACTTTCTATTTCAGGAACTACTTAAGATCACTTTATCCATTCAATATATCCGATTTTACATGTGGATTAAAACAATATGATTTATACTTTATCTTACATGGATGCCCGTACCTGGCATGATGGTTTTCTTGCAGGTGTTGCACTTGGAAGAGTAATCATGTGCATAGCATTCAGTGCAGAGCAGTGAATCCTCCTTAGCTGCAAAGGCCTTCTCTACCAGAGAGCGGCTGCACTTTGCACACTTGAAACACTGTTCATGCCAGTGGCGATCCTTGTAGGACAGGTCCTAGAAGCATTTACCACACAATACTTTAACATGTTCAAGCTGTCTCTGTTTCATATAATTATTCTTCACGGCTCTAATTTCTTGTTAATGTTGAAACCCTATAAATGGTTATCTCAGGGCATCCTTGCTCTTCTCTTACCTTAAAGTTACAGCCAATAGGTGAGGAGCATGCTTTACAGCAGTTAGCAAACAGGTTCTCATAACACTTTGTGCAGTACTGTGTATCCTCTTTCATGATGTACTTCTTCCCCAGCAGAGAGTCTTTGCAGTAATGGCAGTCGAATCGATCAACGGACATTTTTGTTTTCTCTTCTTTTATCTGTAGACCAAACAGAGTAGCAGCATGAACAATCGACAATGAAGACAAATAGAAAACATTGTACAAGAGATGTACTAGTCCCTGGACATCCTCTTACTCTTCTTGTACAAAAAAATTAGGCATAAAAAAGTTTCTTTTCTTCCCAGAAAGAAGTGCTTAAGAAGTGTGTATCTGAGCAGATACGAGGCAAGAGTGAGGCTGAAGTCAGGGACTGTGGAAGTTGATGGATTCAGGCACAGGGATGAGGCAGGGATTGAAACTGGGGTCAGGGAGGATTATGGGGTATCTACTGTGGGGCTCTTCTATAAATACAGACCTGCTCATATTAGTGGTGATCTCCGGAGGGAATGTGCATACTGCACTGAATCATTCTTCACCTTTTAAGGGAGGTCATGGTAAACCCATCACAAAAGCCTTTGATCCTGTTTCCGTATTGCTAATTTATCCCGAAAATAATAAAACGGCAAGAAATTTCATCAAAGATATAAATATGGTAAAAAAAAGTCAGAAGACTTCCGAAGTCAAAAGACTTTTAATGATTAAGTGATCAATTATTGCCGCATTGTGGTCAAACAGCCTAGACAGCTGGCCGTTTGGATTTCATGACTTGCGTGGAAACACTTGTCAAAGTTGTCGGAGACGCGAGCAATTGCAGATGGTTGATGAAAGGCAAGTGCCAGCAGCAGCTTTGTGGATGCCAGGTACTGAACCATACTGCCAGGAGCTCTCACTGTTTGCTGGGAACATCTTGGCAGAACGTCACAAAGTGAAAGCTGTGGCTTAGTGCATGCTTAATCCATCCCCGTTGAGATAAAGAGGAGGAGGACCAGAATAGGCAGTTTAAACATATACTTTCTCGCCATCCATAGCACTGCTTTGATTACAGCTCATTTTGGTTTGACAGACTACACTGTTAGGAATTAAAATGATTTTTATAGGAATCACAAATTCCAGTGACATTACCTTGCAAATGCACTCATAATTCCAGGCCTTTTTTTCTGGTTTTTATACTACAACTACAAACATCATGTATATTATTTGAATCCTATTAAAAAGATAAACAAAAAGTAGAGCCTAATTGAGGAATGAAATGATTACTGAAAACAAAAGAAACTACAGAGACGTGATTGATGACGTCACAATCAGAACAAACTTAATCAAAGAATCCGCCAAAAGGTCAATAATATCTCTGTAGAGGCTGTGGAAATCTACAACTTAGGTGTGAACATCTTTGGTCTAGACAAATATATTTCATGGAATACACAAACCTGTCCTATGTGAAAATGGCAGCGCAAAAACAATGACATCCTGAAGGTTGAAGCAATAAAAGTAACAAGAAAACTCTAGATTTTGGCCAAATTGTAAAACTTTAAGAGTGAAAGAACACCGCACATTAGCCTAAATTAGAGTATTAGAGTAGCATCATCATACTGCAGGGATGCATGTCAGCAAGGGCAGGACATCTGGTAAGACTTGTGGATTAACAATTCAGGGTTAAATAAAAGCCAAGGAAACCTGTCTGAGGCTGCAGAAGAATTAAGACTGCTGAAGAGGATCATTGTTAGGCAGGACCATGACCCTAAACACACAGCAAAAGGTGCACTGCAAAAAATATAAATCTCAATAAGTTATTTTTTCTTAAAATAAGTGTGTTTTTTCTTGATTTGAGGAGGTAAGTAAGACACTTTGCCAATGGAACAAGACAATTTCCTTTTAAAATAAGAAAAAACTATTTTATCGTCTTATTTCAAGTAAATATTATCTAACTATCTTATTTTAAGAGTGAAAATACTCATTCCATTGGCAAATCATCTTATTTACCTGCTCAAATTAAGGCTAAATATACTTAATTTAAGCCATTTTTTACTTATTTCTGGATTGTTTTTGCAGTGTGCAAAGGTGTAGTTTAGAACAAAGGACATTCTTCAGTTAAAATGTTCTTATCAAAGCCCAAATATTTGTAAATGAGAATCTTTTTCAAAACTGAAATTAATGCTATTCTTAGACCCCTACTCTTGATTCTGTCTAAAGTTGTGCTATTTAGTGCATTAGCAAACATTTCAATCTCGTGCACATCTGACTGAGACAACATAAGATGCACTGTGTCTACTTCTAAATAAAAATAAACAAAATGAAATAACAGTTGTAATGCTTGATAAATGTTTAAACTAATCAGTGTCACAGATGATGAACAAGTAATTTCTGTTCAGGCCTTTATATGTATCAATTTCCAATAAAATATGGGGGTGGGGTCTGGAGTCAAAAATAGCTTGGGAGGACCACCAGCCTAATCCCTCACAGATGCACACAGGAATGTCAAAGAGAGGGATGAGCCTGAAAGGAATGCAATTTTTTTTGAGGATGAACTCTCTTCCCCTGCGTCTTTATTTGATATTTGCCCCCTGCACAACCCCTTGCAAAGAGACATATATGGACTTACCAACTGGTAATGAGTGTAACCCATCTTTGATCAGCCAGTAATGCCGTAACACGGTCCTACATTGTATATGGGTTACATCTACCAACCTCCAAAAGGAGGCTGAGTTATTTTTGACCCATACCAAGCATGTTATGTAAGACTTTCATCACAATCACTATGTCTGATTTGAAGTCATCCCCTACTTGAGATTTCTTTTTTTTTTATTTCTAAGTGGATAAATTCTCAGGATTACATGCAGATGCATGGTGATCTGGATTAAATCACCAGTGAATGAAATCCTCTCTTCTTGTGGGGCCTATATGAGTGATTGATGATCACAAAAGCCATGCAGACATTAAATAAGCCCTCAAGCAACTACATGACAACTGCAGCATTGTCTCTTCTAATCTTTGTTGTTGCACACATCTGTCATTATGTGACATCTAAACAAGTAGTAGCGTGACCTATATTTCCTATAAAAAATCATCATGGAAAGCTATGAAAAAATAAACGGCATCTCAACAAAACAGATTATAATCTGATAACTTTGACATGTAATCTACATAAGTGTTCCTATTTTTGTGATTCACCTCAACATAACTAACATTGTTGTAGTTTGAAGCTTCTAATATTAACCTGCACAACAGGCAGTGCAAACTCTAGTGAGCAAAAATGTTGGTGATTTTGCATATTCCTTTTTTGCCTTGTAATCTACTGAAATCAAGGGGTATAAATCTGCCAAGAGGTTTTGTAGGGAGAATGTCTATATCTAGTAAATAGACCTTTATTTGACCTGGACTCACATGTCCACCTAATTTATTCAAACGTTACGATTAGATGTCCGCTGCCCTCCCATCAGGCTACCTCAAAGAAGAGAAGCATTTTCTCTGCTAACTCCTAAGAGGTGGGTTGGGAGATCAACATGACACAGATGCATTTCTGTGAAGTTTGCTTTACTTTGCAGCACCAAAGCTGACAGCTGGTTGGCATGGAGATGATAACATAAGTGGCTCCCATTAGGCTAGAACGATGGGCAGCTTTAGTAGTTAATGAGAGGGGTCACACAAAACTGTCCTTCTGAAGGCCTCTGTGCTCTGCTGCCATGTTGAGAGCTTGCTTTCAACACAGTATTTTCAGCTGAACAGGATAGTCACACAGGGGGCTGCAGGAGGTAAAGATGTACAATCATCTTAGTCTGTAGTCTCACAAAACTATAAACCGCTTCGGCAAGGGCCTGTGAATGCCTTCATTAACTCATCCCAATTCCTGGCAGTCCTCAGTAAATAGAGGCCTTGCATTGGGTGACAAGAGTGGTCACTGTGGTTTGGATAAAGTTGGCATTTTAGCCCATGTTTGATGCAAAGAATGTCTCAATTTCAATTAAAACAAAAAAACAGTTGAAGTAATTACAATGGAAATACAGCATAATTCGACAAAATTTTATTTATGTCTATATCCAACATATCAGTCTTCTACCCTTGCCCCTCACAATCCCTGGTACAATAGGTTGTCTGTGTTAAAGACTCATTCATTATGGGCACTGTGTATACATAAGTTTTATACTTATTTTTGCAGTTTGTTAGTAAAAAAGCCATTTAAACACGAGAGTTACTTAGTAGGGGAAAGGGAACTATTTGAATATTGTATGGAAGTGTAGTATTTCTTGCCAAGCATTTCATAAAGTAAAATGCAAATTTTGTAAGGATTCATAAAGTAAAATATTTGGAACCTTCATTTCGTGAAATTTTTATGATGATGGTGTACAGAAAAACAAAGAAAAACAAGTAAGAGGTGTTTCTTTGGCTATTTAAGAACAGGGACACCATGGTCACTGCACCAGCTTCTAGTACTTTTGGCACCTTATGGTACCTTTGACCGTGGAGGCATGTGCCAAGTCCTATGGAAACTTCCAAACAAAAAGTTAAATACAAAGCCACTGGACTTGTTTTCCAAGTTTGAAGACATTTCACTTCCCATCCAGAAAGACTTCTCAATTCAAAATGTTTGAAGTAGTATGGACCTCCAGGCTTTATAAAATAGCCCAAAGAAAGCCCATTTATGGCTTAGAAAACATGTAAATTCAACCGAAACAGGTACACCCCTAATGGAAAGTCATTAAGGTAGTTGTTGGCCTGCAAGTTTAACCAAAACTGGCCCATGCCTCTGTAAACGGGAATCGTTAGGGTCGTTAATGGCCTGGCTTACCAGAACAATTTTTTGACCACCTGCATGGCGATGCGGATTGAGGTGATATAGGGAAGGAATTAACTCTAAAGCTGCGTTATAGGTTATTGAGAGCTGAAACCTGAGTACACCCCCTCTGTTTAATGTTTTTTTTTCTCTTTCTCTATAAATAAAGGAAAGCTGGCTGAGGACTCTCTGACACTGCTCTGAACTGGTTTAAATCGTACCTCACTGACAGAACGGAGTACATCTCAATTGGAAATACAACTTCTCGGCAACATAAAGTCACCTGCGGAGTCCCCCAGGGATCAGTACAATTTTCTCCAGTTGAACAGCTCCAAAACTGAGGCAATCCTTGTTGGCACATCACACCAAGTCCTGTCATCCTCCATTACCAGTATAACCATCTCTGGCCAGGAAATTCCCCTCTCCACAATAGTCACCAATCTCCGTTTAAGATTTGATCCACAACCCACATCCCATATCAAACACCTCTGCAAAATCTCCTTTTATTATCTAAGAAATATTTCAAAACTTCGTTCTACACTCACCTTGGCTGATGCAGAAAAACTGGTCCATGCCCTTGTCTCCTCCAGGCTGGACTTTTGTAATGCACTTCTCATCAGGATCCCTAACAAGAGTCTGCAGAAACTACAGTGGATTCAGAACAGTGCTGCAAGGATCCTGAT